AAAGCAAGGTTGCCACCTTTTTTTCCAGCAAGGCATCTGTGTCATTAATCATTGCATAATGGACAATTATTTTGTAGAAGCCATTTTTCGCAATATATAGGTTCAGTGATGGGGAAAGTCCTTGTCTTTTTGCCCATCACAGAACTGTTGGAGGAGGAGGAGGTGGAGGAGAGGAAGAGGAGGAGGAAGAGGAAGACGACGACACTGCAGCCATGACCTTACTGTTCCCATATGCAGAGCAGGCCCATTCTTCACTGAGCTTCTGTTGGAGGGGTATAGCCACGTAGTAATGTTGCATTGGGGACAGAGTTGGAAGGAAAGTGCACCAGGCCTCCTTAACATCAGTGGTGCTCTCTGTCATGGTTTCTCTGAATATGAACCATTGGGAGAGGGAATGGATGTCGGGGTCCTGACTTTTAACCCAATAGATGCTCTGTGCCTTTAACAGCAACATAGCAAGCCAAAAATTAATAAGTGCAATTTTGCCATCTCAGAGATGCCTGGATGAGGAATAATGCATCAGTTCCATTTCTGGCTGCAACAGAACTATAACAACCATAGAAGTCCTTCTAGAATAAAGATGGCAACCTTTGCTAGAAGTTTGGAGTTGCACATGATTGGTGTTTCTCTAACCATGACATTGGCCTGGAATCCCAAATGTTTGAAAGGAGGAATGGTGTGTATTGTCGCTCCTGGGAAGGAGGATTTTGCCTTGAGAGCTGTGGCCCGAGCTCCACCTGTCACTGATAAACAACTGAGATGCTTCTTTGGGGTAACTGGGATCCTGCATCTTAAAGTAGAGCTGTGGTGGTTATTGGTGCCAGCTCATAGGCCTCCAGGACACACACACATTTAGTGCCTTTTCTAGAAAATGTTTCTTTTGCTGCTGGGGAGGTAACTCTGTGCTTATCAGAAGGGTAGCAACTCTACACAATGCTGCAACTTTAACACTGGATGGAATGTTGGGGAAGATAATATGTCAGACAGACAAGTCAGCATCTCCCAGGGGAGAACTGAGATTTCTTAGCCTGCAGTATGAAGCCATGGGAACAGATCAGGCCTGGCGCAAGAGGCAGGTTTGGTGTGGAGACCAGTTCTGGTTGTGTCATCTCTTTAAAAAATATCATACAAGTGGAAAAGGGCAAACCCAAATAGGAGGCTTGTGTGTCTTTCTGTTGTTGGAAGTAAGCCCCGTTAAATAAATAGGGACTTACTTAGGGTTGCTCTCTTTGACTTCTCCTCTCATAATACCAGAACTGAAGTCATCCAGGGAAACTGACCAATTGTAGATTAAGAATTTACAAAATAAATACCTCTTTACACAACACATAATTAAATTGCAGAATTCACTGCCAGAAGCTATAGCGAAGGCCACAGATGCACTAGCAGTTCAGAGTGCCTTACTATGCACAGCAGGATCTGGATTGAAAGGGCACGAGTGAGTCCGATGCTGCCAAAAAGCATTTGTCACTAGACATGGGAGTGGGGATGCAAACCTGCATGTTCAGAGGCAGTTTGCCACTGACTGCCAGTTGCTGGAGGTCCACAGTGGAGGGATGGCTGCTGTCTCCTTCACATTCTGCTCATAGGTTTCCATTGGACATCTGTGGGGGACCCTGGATGCTAGGCTAGTGGAATCTTCACCTTTTCTTATGTTCTAGTGGGGGGGGGGGGGGGGGGGAGAGCATGGGGGAAGAGGAACAGTCCTTGAATGAACATGGCCTAAGAGGATTGTCTTTGAGGAATAAATAGTGCCACCATCAGGCTTGATTGCGTTGCAGATTCTGCTCTCCATAATGACCTTTTCCAGTCCTTTGTTGCACTATTGTAAAATGATGCATTAGCAGTTCAGAGTGCCTCACTATGCACAATGGGATCTGGGTTGAAAGGGCATGTGTGCGTCTGACTGTGCCAAAGCATTTGTCACTGGGAGTGGGAGTGAGAATGCAAATGCATGCTGACCAGGATCGGCACATAGGAAGACCACAACCAAACTGCTGCCAGAGAATGAGCAATTGACCTGCTTCATCAAAATTCAGGGCATGTGGGCAGCATAGTGAGATCTGGCACTCAAAAAGGAAAAAGAACCACCCTGCTTGTACAGCAGCGTGTCCCCATTGAGATGATTTTATTCTTAGTTGGCTTTTGAAAATAATTGTGTGTGCCCCCCAAAAAATCTAATGATTTGGCAGTAGAGCATCGATATCACAGTAAGAAAATGATGGCAGTCCCTCTGCACTTGTGTTCAAGAAGAGCTGACTAGACCTGACGATCTGCATGAGATGTTGGTAGAAATATAAAGCAGTTAAGGGAGGGGGGCTTCATTTTGTGTATCTTTATGCAGTAGTTTTTAAATAATCGTTGAGAGTGTACCTTTAGCAGTATGGCCTTTGCTACACCACGCTACACAAAGTGTCTCCCCCCCCCCCCCCAGTGGTGGAGAGGATGGGAACAAGTCTCTGAAAAATTCCCTAAGGAATGTTCCGGGGGAGAGGAAGAGTGAGCCGTCTGTTTTCTCTTTAAAAGAACAAATCCCTTGGAAATACCAGCGCTGGGGGTTGCTGGGCCCCAGGAATCTGCATGTGAACCTGAGCCAGGGGGCTGGCCTGCGGCTAGACAGCAGCAGGTGGGATAGAAAACCAGGCAGCGCCCCTCTCTGAACGACCACGAGCCGCTTCGGATTGGACGGCATTTGCTTTTGTAACCCGGTTACGTTGAGCGTAAAGAGGGGCCGGCCGGGCAGTTTCGCCCTCGTGCTCCAGATTTTGCAGTGATTTGCACGGACTGGCCAGCTGCTCGGAAAACGGAGACAGCTTTGCTGTGCCCCTTCGCCGTGTTCCGACGTGTAAGCCTAGCCAGCCCGGGGGGGAGGGGATTCAAGGACTCGCCCGTTGAGTCGGAGTCCGCGCTTCCCTGTTCTTCTCTGCCCAACTCGGTCTCAGCAGCACAGCAAACTGGCGGTGTGATCACTTGGCCCACCTGCAGGCAGCATCGATATGTACTATCCCAGAACACGTTGAGGCTCTCCCTGAATCAAGCTGGAGGGACTGACTGACCACCTGGGGGTGCGGTAGCATTGGAGGTCGTGTAACGGGGCTCCTCTTCCGCATCCTAGCCGAGGATATCCAGCTCCGGGCTTTGGCGCTGATCGGCCCTGGGGGGCCGCTCCAGTCTATTGAGATGTTAAATACCCCAAAGAGTGACGCTGTGCAAGGGGGGGTCAGTTTCGTTCGTCCCCCCTTACCGGGTGCTCACAGACAAGAGTAGCGGGTGAGGATGGCTCTGGAGCTCGGCTCAGCTTGGTGAAAACTGGGGTGCGGGGGATGCTGTGCAGAGGTCTAGTATATGGGGCGGGCAGGGATCCCCCCCCCCCGGGTTGTAAAACCTGCACTTTCTGGGAATTCCTTGTGAATCAAGACACGCCCCTTCCAGTGTTGATAGTGGGGGGAGGTTAACCTCGGACTGGAATGCTGCTCCTCTGGTTGGGGCGGCGGGGGGGGGGGGGGGGGGGAGGCAGCGGGCGACTGGAGCTGTTTGGGAAGATAGGGGAGGTCTGCTGTGTAAAGCTGCTTTTCCTGTCGGATCTTGATACATGCCTCTCGTCGTCCAGAACGCGGCATGCCCCTTGCCAGAACTAGGCTGTAGCTTAGGAAAGGTCACAGCACAATATTTTTGCTAGTGTTTGAGTTGTTGGAGATCTCTTTGTTGTTGTAGCGCAGCCACTCCTCTGGGAGTATTTTGGTAGTCCCCAGATCACTTAATGCAATGCCCTCCTAACGCCCACCCCATGCATACTTTTCTTCTTCTACTCTGTGCGATAAAAGTTTGCTTCCCTGCACTTCCATAATTTGTCTCAACCTGAAGCGGGCCTGGGTTAGCCCTTCATGTTTATTCCAACAGTCACATTCTGGTGTGTGTCCTGGACAGTGAGTTGTGTTGGATTCCATCATACGGTAAACAGCTCTAGACACAGGAGTAGTCTAACCAGTACTCTAATAGTAGTCACCTCAGTGATCCATCCTGCGCAGTTTCCTGTTTCCAGCAGTTGCAGATGATAACTCACTTGCAGCAAGGAACTGGATCAGGGCAGGTGGTAGTATTAGATTGCCCTCTGGCAGGCTAAAGATTGAGGGAGGGAGAGATGCTCTGTAATCACTTTTGATGGTTCTTTTGTTGCATGGACTTGCTAAGATCTTTCAGAGCTCTTTTTATTTCCTGTGGTCATTATTGTTTATGGTAAGAGGACCTTGCGTATTTTTGGCTTTCATTGTTGTGGTATTATATAGTTGAGGAGTTCCTTGAAAGGGTAACTGTGTCTATATTTTTCTTCTTCTAATTCAACAGATTTCCCACAATGAGCTTCTTCAGTAGCATTACTTGGCTTAGTCCAGTACTGGTGCTGTTAACGCAGTAGATTCATTCCACAATGCACACTGTGTTTGATAAGCAGGGAGTTCCCATTTGGCTGGCCTCCTTGCTGCATATCCACGATTTGTGGTGTTTCTTTTTTTAAGGTGTCTTGTGAAGTAGCCCCGATTTAGAGCATTCGTGGCCGTGCAGCAGCGGCCATCAACTAGATTAGCCCAGTGGCCAATCTAGGTCGCAGCACAAATGCAAGGTGGCAGGTTCTTTCCCTCCTCCTTCCCAATGACTTACTGCTGCCTGCCAGTATACTCATCTCTGACTGAAAATTGCAGACGAGGGTGTTTCCTGGCCTGGGAGAGAGGGAGACTGCTGGAAACATGTGGGTGGCGGAGTGCATGTGTTCCTGGCAGTTTCTTCTCACCCCAGAAGCCAGCAGTAGGGGAGGCTGTCTTGTACTAAAAGGATCTTTTATCTGTGAGAAAGGTGTGGCGGGCTAGCTGGTGGTCCTCTGTGGGTTGGATTTGACCCATGAACTTCCAGTTACCCACTGCTCCCATATAAGGAGCTGCCGGCTCAAAAACCGTGGCCTAAACACATCTGATCTCTCTCTCTCTCTCTCTCTCTCTCTCATTCAGAAATGACCCTGCTTTCCTCCCAGCCAACATCACTGGAGGCTGCAGCAACAACAGCCTCCACTCCCAACCCGGAAAAAAGGATGCTGGAGAAGAGAGCAAAGGTCATTGAAGAGCTCCTGCAGACTGAGAGGGATTATATCCGAGACCTCGAGATGTGTGTGCAGAAGGTGCAGATGCCACTGCAGGAGGCACAGGTGGGTGTGGTGTGTGGCTGGGCAGGTTATGGGGAGCTGGCAGTGACCCATGAGGGGGGCTTCAATCAGCCATTTGCCAGGGGTGAGATATTACCAGTGTCCTGGCAAATGCTATTCCATTAATAAGTGGGATGGGTTGGGTTGTTTCCAGGTGTTCCTGTGTGTTCATGCATGCCGCTGGTGGTGGATTACTTGGTGGCATTTTGCCTCTATATTGGGACATTACTGGACCAAGTCCAGCAGAATGCATCGGTGTTCTCTGTCACTGTTTTGTGTTTACAGGCAGTGACCAAACAGTACCCTGTTCTTGCAAAAAGGGATGGTCCTAGCATATCTGTGGCTGTGAACCTGCTTGGAGGAGATGTTATTCTTGCCCTAATGCTTCCTTGCTTCCATACAGGTGCCGCACGTAGATTGTGAGGGGCTGTTTGGAAACATTCAAGGAGTAATTGCCTTCTCAAAGCAGTTGCTAAGTGCCCTGGAAGCGGCAGATGCTGTTGGTATGTGCTTCAACCCAAGCTGCTCTTTTGGGGGCAAATCCCGATATGAGGCTGGTTGGGGTAGGCGGGAAAAGCAACACTGTTTTACAAGGTCTACCCCAGTTCATCCATCTGATGCCAGCACTTGACTTAGGCAGCCCTCTGCTTCCTGCCTCGCTTTGTTGTCTGGAGAAGAGCCATACCTGAACCCTTTCTTCAAAGTGGCTTGGGTGAGAGATGAGTTGCTACAGCTCTCTTTTGCTGCCTTGCAGCTGACAACTGTCTAAATCCATATATATCAGTGGATTTAAGCATAAGGATTTAATTCTGTACAGGATTGCAGCCCTAGATTGAATCCCATTTTCAGGCTGGGCTTTTCCTGTGTTCTTCTCTTTTAGGAACAGGAGATCGTATCAGATCAGATGGATCTGCTCTAGCATGGCTCTTCTTATATTCTCATTTCAGTATTGAGTAGGGAACATGGTAGAATGCATTCCCGTTTCTTCAGTAGTCTGAACTGGCATATGAGCTGGAGCAATGATATTTGGAGATGATTCAAGCTTTGTGGAGGATTTTAAAAACACAGGGCCACTGCCCTGTTTGACATGGAGGAAACATTCCTTCTTGCTTCTAAATATGACAGTCATCAGCCTTCAGCCTGTCCTTTTTGTGACTGTCCATGTTGTGTAAGATTGGGGGGGGGGGACACGACAATTTGCAGGAGAATATCCCAGTGAGTCAGAACTAACAGTGACATCATATGTTTCTGTAAATGGGTGTATACTGGAAGGCAGGGCAATGTGCAGAGATGTAATGGTTTGTGAGTCCATGCACGGACTGCAATCTCACCCCTTTCTCAGCCTCCCAGTTCTACTGCAGTTTGAGCAGTGACGGTTGCTGTCTACCCCTGCTGGCCACGGGGGCACCTTCCCTTCCCTGGTGCTTGCCTCAGGAAGAGGTGCTTAAATGACGTGTGTCTTTCCCATCCCAAAGGACCAGTATTCCTAGCGCTTCGGGCCGAGCTGGAGGATGTGTACAAAGTGCACTGTCAGAACCATGATGAGGCCATTGCGCTCCTGGAAGCCTATGAAAAGGATGAGCGGGTGCAGAAACATTTGCTGGAATCACTGGAGAGCCTCAGGTGAAATGGCGGGGGGTAATTGGACCTGATTCTCTGTCCTTTGCGTTCCTTCCCAGTTAGGATGGAAGACTCCACCAATTTGTGCTGGGGTAGAATATGCCCCATATGTGCACTCTCCAGATTTTATCCTTAGCTACTGGTAATTAGTAGGGGTTTCCATTTGTAATGGAGGGGTGGAGACTATAGCAACCACTAGCCAATTTAATCGGCTGTCTTTTCTTCTCTCCCCGCCCCCCCTGCATCCTGCCTGCCAGGAGTCTGTACAGTGCATGGTAAGCCGTTTTCCTGTGCTATTTGCCTGTTTTCCACTGTTCCCAAAAATTCTGTGTGCCTTATTTTCCTCTGCTATACTTCTGTGAACCTATTTTGTACACCCATAGATAGGTATGATACAGTTCAAATGTCTGCCTGAGGAAGAACCCGAGAGGGGGGGTCTTGGAATGGGGCTTGTGCTTCCTGCAGGAGTGGGACAGGGTGGCAGCAGAGGCCAGGGATGTACCAGGCGTGTGAAGAAATTAAGTACTGAGCTGTGATCCTCTGCCTGCTCAGGGCAGGGAAGGAGCTGAGTAAGGCATGGCCAGGGGTGGAGCAGACATTGTAAAGTTGGCACTTAGCTGTGGAAAGGGTTCACCTAAACAACAGGAAGGTGATCTTGGTCTAGCGACAAGACAGGATTGCATTTGGCGATCTGTGGGAGACAGCGATGACATCAGGTTTTGTGATGGTGAAACACAGTGTTGTTTTGGGGGAATGTTGGCTTTGAAGGTGTGGCATGCTGTGGCTTCGACATGACAACCAGGCTGGCTGTAGGAGGATGTCTTAGTATTATGTGACCCTTTGCCAACTTTCCTTGTCTTTACTAGGGGTTGCACCAACTACATTGACCTGGGCTCCTTCCTGATCAAGCCAGTGCAGCGTGTGATGCGCTACCCGCTGCTGCTGATGGAGCTCCTGAACGCGACTCCCGAGTCTCATCCTGATCGTGCTCCATTGGCAGCTGCTGTCCTGGCTGTCAAGGAGATCAATTGTAACATCAATGAGTACAAGCGGCGCAAAGACCTAGGTGAGCTCTGTGGCCATGAGCGCTGTGAGCTCCTGGGCAGAAGAGGTGCGAGAATCTGGGTGATGCAGTCATGTGGGCAAGAGGGAGAAAAGGGGAAGCCACTGAAGGAGGAGGGGCAGGATGCAGCATGAGGAGGTTGTGTGCGTGTTCCAGAAAAGGATGGAGAAAGCAAGAGGTCCGGTAATGGCTGGTAATAGCTGCATGATAAAAACAGGAAGTCCATTCAGTTTAACCGAGTGATGCTGCAGGGCAATTGATGTGGTTGGTATCCAGCTGCTAAGGGACAGGTCCTCCTGTCTGTGTCAGAAGGCAGGCATGCCTGCCTGCCTGCCTCTGATGGTGCTGATCTTGTTTGCAAGTGATGTGGAGGCAGGGGAGGAGCTAAAGTGAACTGGCAGACTGTGGGGCCCCCTAGGGGAAGGTATGGGAGGAGAGAGTAGTCCTCTCTCCTCTGGCACTGGGGCTGGCCTTCATTCCCAGCACACCCCTTCCCTTTCAGTGATGAAGTACCGGAAAACGGATGACGACAGCCTCATCGAGAAGATCTCCAAGCTGAACTTCCACTCCATCATCAAGAAATCCAACCGGGTCAGCAGCCACCTCAAGCACCTCACAGGTTTTGCACCCCAGGTAAGTTTGATCCCTGCCCACATGCTTGTGGATCAGCCGTATTGGCTTTAGTGCTCAGGAAGTTCCATCGCGCCTGTCAACATGCTTTGTCTCCACTGCAGCTCAAGGATGAGGCTTTCGAGGAGACGGAAAAGAATTTCCGGATGCAGGAACGGCTGATCAAATCTTTCATCCGGGACCTCTCCCTTTACCTTCAGCATGTCCGGGTGAATAAGTGTGTGGGGGATCTTGAGGAGGATCTGTCTTGGGGGGGGGGGCAAGTGGGGCTGTTGTGAAGTGGACCCCCCCCTCACCTGTGCAGCATTTTTTGTGCCTCAGTCAGAGTCTTTCTGTGTTTCTGGGAGCTGGTAGTGACTAGGGCCAGTGCGACAGGGTTGGATGAGGACCTGGGAGACCCAGTTAAGGAATCCCCTCTGCCATGGAAGCTTGTTGGGTGACCTAGGGCCAGTCACCCACTCTCAGCCTAAACTATCTCAAAGGGTTGTTGCAAGGATAAAAACAGAAGCTGGGATAAAAAATTCTGCAAGTCACTTTGGGTCCCCATTGGGTTTAACAAAATTAAATTACATTAAAGCAGACTTGTAGGGCTCTAAATAGGCTCAGGTCTAGGGGTGGTGAAGCTGACATTTGTGTGTGTCTCGGTCCTCAGGAGTCAGCTTGCGTGAAAGTGACAGCAGCCGTGAGTATGTGGGACCTGTGCATGGAGAAGAGCAGTGCAGAGTTGGAACAGTTCCAGAAGGTCCATCGCTTCATCAGTGACCAGCTCTTCTCTGATTTTGTGAGTTGTTTTGTTCCTTTCCTGTCAGGTTCCTGCTACTTGGCATAGATTCCCAGTCTGCTGCAGAAAGTGATAGAAAAAGGAGCCGAGGTTGGAAAAGACTGGGAAATCTCTTCCAACACTGAGATAAGGAAGATGCAGCATCAAATGGGAAGTGGGGAGGAGAGACTGTACAAGATGATGGGACTACTGGTAGCTGTTATAGAAAGGAATAGTGATTTGCCAGGCAGCCTGGAAGAAGATCCAGGGAGATGCTGGGAAGAGCAAAAGCCCTTCCAGCGTGTTCGTAATATAAACAAATGTGAGCAATCCTAAGCAGGTCTACTTGGAAGTAGGCTCTGTTATGCAGTGGGGCTTACTCTCAGGAAAGTGTACTTAGAGTTGCAGCCAAAAGCAATCTTACAGAGTGATGGAAAATCCTCGTGTTTATGGGCTACTGTAATGTATACTACCTCTAATGGAAGAACAGGCAGTGATGGTGCCATGATGTAAAGCTGCCCTTCTCTGTCTTGTAGAAGGAGCGCACGGAGCGGCTGGTGATCACCCCTCTGAACCAGCTGCTGAACATGTTTGCTGGGCCTCACAAGTTGGTGCAGAAACGTTTCGACAAGCTCCTGGACTTCCACACTTGCACGGAGCGTGCCGAGAGGCTTAAGGACAAGCGGACCTTGGAAGAGCTGCAGTCGGCACGCAACAATTATGAGGCCCTGAACACTCAGCTGCTGGATGAGCTGCCCAAATTCCAGTGCTGCGCTAAAGAGCTCTTCACCAGTTGTCTGCGGGGCTACGCTGAGGCCCACTGTGACTTCGTGCACCTGGCACTGCAGGAACTACAACCTTTGCTCTCAGTGAGTACACAGAAGCGGGGGAGTGCAAGGAGTTTGGCCTTGAAAAGCCATGAAAAGCTGTGGACAGAAGACCTCCAGTTTTCATCTTTTCAATGAGTGAACAATCCACAATCCCACAGTTGTTGAGTGGGAGGAAAACACTATGCCCTTAGGTAGATCCAGTACGATTTGAAAATTGGCTGAGGCTGTGGGGGTTTGTTTTGGGTTGTTGCTGCTTTCTGTCTGTGATAGGGGGTGGGAAGGCCTTTCAGCTTCCACTTTCTCATAACCTCCCCACGTAGATATTTTGAGTGGCGACTGTGGTTTGCACCAATCTTTGCATTTTTCCTCTGTTTCTCTTGTGGTGGTTGGCTGGAAAATGCGACTGGAAATCAAGAGCAGGGGTCTGAATAGGATGGTCTGGTTGAAACAAAAGACTCTGTGAGGTGATGAGGTTCATCTAGGATGCATCAGTCAATACGGAGCTATCTGCTGGGGTGGAAGAGAAGTCAAGTAGGCCTCTCTGGTGCTGGGCTAATGAGTTTTCTCAGGGTTTACCTTAACTGAGGCACAGCAACAAACCAGCTCATTTTGTACAGAAGTGTGGCTTAGCTGACCTTTGGTAGGCTCCACGTGTCTTCCACTCTCATGACTCTGTTGCTGTCCCATTTCCAGCTGCTGCAAGTTGTTGGCAGAGAGGGGAACCTGGTTGCCATCTTCCAGGAAGAGCACAGCCGGGTCCTCCAGCAGCTGCAGGTCTTCACCTTCTTCCCGGAGACCATCTCTCCTGCCAGGAAACCTTTTGAGAGGAAAAGTCTGGAGCGCCAGTCAGCACGCAGGCAGCCACTCCTGGGCATGGTGAGACTTGTGGGGAGGAGGGAAGGGAGAGGCAGGAAGCCATCGTCTGCGCGGTGGGAGCAGATAGTTAAGTATGGGCATTCCTAAAAGGATGGACAGATTATGAGGAGCCCGGGCCTGATGCCTCTGCAAGGGCAAGCCTAGGCCCAGCAGGCCGGGGGGAGGGAGTGCTGCAGCACGTCCCTCCCCTTCACAGGCACTGTCCGCTTCCCTTTCAGCCCAGCTACATGCTGCAGTCGGAGGATCTACGCACAGCCTTGTTGGCTCGGTACCCTCCTGACAAGCTCTTCCAGGCAGAGCGCAACTTCAACGCAGCTCAAGAGTTGGATGTGTCGCTCTTGGAAGGTGACCTGGTGGGTGTCATCAAGAAGAAGGACCCCATGGGCAGTCAGAACCGCTGGCTCATTGACAATGGAGGTGAGAGGAGACCTTGCAGGTCTTGGGCTTCCTTGTGTGTGGGATTGGTGCCCTGACAACACTTGTAACGTGACCTTTCCTCATCCCCACAGTGACCAAAGGCTTTGTGTACAGCTCCTTCCTGAAGCCTTACAACCCACGATGCAGCCACTCAGATGCCTCTGTAGGCAGCTATTCCTCCAGTGAATCTGAGCACAGCGGTTCCTCGTCGCGGGGTAGCAGTGCCCCGAGTAGCATACTGAGCAATGCATCGGTGAACATCACTCAAAAGCCTACGCAAGACTCTGGTTCCCAAGGCGATCTGAGCAGTGCTCTTCAAGCCCTTTCCGAGGTGGATGCCGTCTGTTCTCAAATGGACCCTGCTGTAGAATCTGCTCAGCCACCTCGTGTTGTTCCAGCATCTCGCCGATACAGTAGCCCTGACTCCCGCAATGGACACACAGCACGGGCCAAGGCTAGGGCAATGCCTTCACTGGAGGACGGCCACTCGAGGATGAAGAACAGCGAGTCCAAGGGAAACCAGGTGACTAGGGAATATGTATAGGCTCAGGAAATGGAGCAGGGCCATATCGGTCTGGTCTGAATCCATGCCGCCTAATATGGAGACAACACAGCAGATGGGGTGCATCTGGTAGGGTTCAGAGTGGTGCAGGATAGGATCTGAAGCTTTTTGCTCTTTTGGTGCCATTGATTTCCTTGTCTTTCTGCTTGCAGGTCTACTATGCGGTTTATACTTTTAAGGGTCGGAATTCAAATGAACTGAGCATAACAGCCAACCAAAGACTAAAGATCCTACAGTTTGAAGACATCACTGGCAATCAGGAGTGGTGGTTGGCAGAGGCACATGGGAGGCGGGGCTATGTGCCATCCAGTTACATTCGGAAGACTGAGTACACGTGAGATGTGATCTGGCTGAGTCAGAAACTGATGCCTTAAATCATTGTTGGAAGCAGACAGAAGACCAAAGCAGGGAGTCTTGCTCAATGCTCTCTTTTCCTTAGTGGTCCATATTGAATTCATTTGGTTGAAAGTCAGACCAGATTTCCAGTGAAGTTGAATGAGGTGTTCCCATGGGAGTCTACTGTTAACTCCTATGAATCAGAACCTTGTTGCCTAGCTGGGCAAGGGGGAGCAGTCAGCAGTGCTGTGTGATGTTCATCCTGCCCCCTTGAAATAGGCATTTAGAGAGCAATCCTAAGCAGGTCTGCTCAGAATTCTACTATGCTCTCTTCAGTGGAACTTACTCCCAGGGAAGTGTTCGTCGGATTGTGCTGTTGGTCTGTTTGACTAACGAGGTTGCAAACTAGCAAGAGATGATGCAGCTGGAGGGATCGTGCTTATTCTTCCATTCTGGGTCTAAGTCAGTTTCCTTATAGCCAGTGACATGTCGGTGCACATGCAGAAGTGCTGGCTACTAGCCAACGAAAAGGAGGTCTCCTGAGGGCCACCCTGCAAGACTCCCTTGGCTGTAATGTTACTGGGTGCTGACTACTGTGGGGGCAGTTAAGGCTCCTTTGCTGAAGTTCAGGTGGGTCTAGTGCTCACTTTGGATGCTCCAGTCTGTGTGTAAGGGTAGATACTGGGCCTGGTTTGTCCCTTGGGGACCAGTCATGGAGGATTCCTGCTCCAATGTAAGAGCACCATGCAAGAGATGCAGTTTCCCTCCTGAGTGCGACTCCTGAGCTGCTGTTTTGTAAATAAAGTTTCTCTTTTGGAAGTGACTTGTGTTGGTGTACATAGAGCCTCTTGGTCCTAGCCCCCCCCCCCCCGCTTCCTTCCTGCTCACCCTATGCTGCAAGCCACATGCCTGAGCTGCCAGTACATTGAGAGTAGCGTCAAAAAGACTGTATTGGACTAATTGTGAACAGTAAATATTGTCTAAGAATAGGGGCTGCAAATGAGGCAGATTTCATGAATGTGATTACAATCCTAAACCATGTACTATGACCAGGGGGAGAGAGGGAGAAAATAATAGAGCCAGACTCTGTGTTTTCATGTCTAGTACAACTTCACACCACAATCTGGGCCTGAAAGAAAAGTGGGAAAACTGGATTGTTTGGAACTACGTTTATTAAATAATCATTCCTGTAACACTTTTCAGTGTTCTAAAAGTCTCATATGACTCATAAGCCTTCCTCTGCCTCAAGTGAACATGAAAGGCTTGGAGGAGCACGCAAACTAGCTGTGTGGAACTTCAAAAACATCATGAAAATGAAGGGAAGTGCATGTCATAAAATGGAACAGCCAAAATAGGAAGCAAAAGGCCTTTGTGGCCTAGTGCAGGGCATGGAAATCAATGGAAAGTCTAAAAGACATACAGCAAAAAAAAAAAAAGTTACGATCAACAGAGCTGCATCTTGAAGGAAAGGTGTGCTTTTAAAAGTACAACTTCAATACATCTTTCCTGGCCTCTAGGAAAGCTGCAATCTTCTAGTTCAGCCAGATGTGCCTGTGTTCAGCATCAGGAGCTGGTCCATGAAGTGCAAGCACAGCCCAGGTGCCCATTGCTAGCAGATAAAGTGTTACAAAGAAACAAAGGCAGCCTGGCCAGCCCTTGGGCAGCTACAGCAGAGTCCTGTGAAGTCAGCCCGACCTTGTTCTGGCTTGCCCTTGTCCCTTACAGGGCACTGTCCTGGGTTCCCACAATACCGGCATCCTTTGCCATGCCAGCAAAGATGCCTTCTTCTTGAAGCAACTGCTCGGGGTTGCTGAATTCCACAATCTTCCCAGCCTGAAGCACCATCACTCTGGAGAGGAGAAGAGGGAGAAATCTGAGCCTCCACCATGTTAGCACCCAAACAGCTCTCCCTCTCTCTTCCCTCCTAGAATGGTAACTAGGAAAACAGCCTTGCAAAGGAAATTGACTCCACTGGTTCTGAAGCTGTGGTTCAATGTGCATTTTCAAGTAATCTTGCAGGGGGCTTCCCCCCCCCCCAAAAAAAGGGCAAAGTGCTGAAGTTTTTTCTTTGTGGGGTAAAGGTTCCCTTGCTCGAAAGCCAGGCGAGTCCGACTCTAGGGTTGCGGTGCTCATCTCTGTTTCAAAGCCGAAGAGCCAGCGCTGTCCAAAGATGTTTCCGTGGTCATGTGGCCGGCATGACTAAACACCAAGGCACACGGAACGCTGTTACCTTCCCACCGAAGTGGTACCTATTTATCTACTTGCAATTTCTTGCTTTCGAACTGCTAGGTTGGCAGAAGCTGGAACTAGAGACGGGAGCTCACTCCGTCATGCGGCAACTCGGGTCTTGAACTGCTGAACTACTGACCTTCCACAGCCTGCAGTTCAGAGTCGTAACCACTTGAGCCACTGCAGCTCCACTCTTTGTGGGGTAGGGGGAAGCAAAAAATGACAAGAAACTAAAAGGCCACAGTGTATGGCTGTTTTCCCAAGATTAACCTTACAGGTTTTCAAGAACTTAGTTAGCTTTTTGTGAAGTATGTTGCTGGCGCTTGCTAAAAAGTTGTTGCTAACGTATGTTAATTCCTTCGTGCTACATGCTGAAACAGTTTTTCTGCTTGCCTGTCTCAGAGAATAACCCTGCTTGATCCACTCATGGATTTTATAAATCCTGAGTTTTTAAAGGCCCTGTGTCAGCATATGACATTTTGAATTAGCCCCAAGTTTTTTGGACTGTGGTTTCTAAGCGTGCTGTTTCTGTTCTAGGAATGTTCAGTGGGAATTCAAAGTTTACTGCATGAGAGGTTAGATTATTGCGGCAGAAGTTGCTGCCTTTCCTGTAATTATTCCACTGCAGGGCTGAAGGCAACTTGGGTCTCTCTCTCTCTCCTGTTCTTCAGGAGAGAATGAAGACCTGGACACTACTGCTGTGCATGACCAGTTTCACCCCATACCTGTTGCTGTCCATAATGGTGTGTAGCCGATGAGCAATGGTGAGCACGGTGCACTTAGCAAACTCGCTGCGGATAGTCTCTTGGATCAAGTGATCAGTTTCCATGTCTACAGCTGCTGTGGCCTCATCCAGAATCAGAATTTTGGATTTACGGAGGAGGGCTCGAGCCAGACAGAGAAGTTGCCTCTGTCCCACGCTGTGGGTAAAAGAGTGATCACTAATGCAACCTGGATAAATTGACATAGTTGTTGGAAGGAGACGGATGCAAACATGGGTCCACAATGCCCCCCAGCTGTCAAGTACAGTTGTGATTGAAACGGAGTAATGCAGCCAGGGAGGCTGAGGGATACACTGGTACAGTAAGGACATAGGCAGAGTGTCACAAAACCCCTTGCCCATCCGATACCTCATGTTCTCTCCAGCTTCGCTCACTAGGTGGGACAGTCCCTCAGGCAGGTCACGCACGTAAGACTTCAGGTGAGCTAGCTCGAGAGCATGCCAGACTTCCTCATCCGAGTACTGGTCAAATGGGTCCAAGTTCATGCGCAAGGTCCCCGAAAAGAGAACGGGATCCTGCAAGTGTGGAGGCAAAAGGTAATGGTAGGTGGAAGAAGCTAGAATAGATGGGAGATTGAGGGAAAGGACTGGCTGTTCTTTCTTTTAATCCCACCTCATGGGCATTTGGTGTAGAAGAGGCAATGACGGTTTGGGTTGCATAACGGAATGAACAGGATTCTGCAGCCAAAAGGGGTTCAGGGTTGAAAAGAGCTAGTTTGAACCAACTAGATCTTTCACTGGCTGTGGGCAGGCATCCAAAACCAAAACCCATGTCCTACCTATTATTAGGACCAAGCAAATTCATACGAAACATTGTGCAAGCTTTCAAGCCCACCAGGGCTCTTTATCAGGCTGGATGTGATAAGATTTAAAAAGACAGAAGATCACACAGACCATGTGGAAAGGTCCAGTCTTGCTGGCTTCTTCGGTGAGATGCTAGTAGGCTATAAACTTAACTTTATTGCTGCAGCGTAGGGCATATTTGTCTTATGATATAGAAGCATTGCCAGAGGCCTTAAGCATCCTCTTCAGTCTGTGTCCCTCTTCTCACTAAGCTATATATTATAAAGAGCTAGTATATTGTGGCACCAGAAACCTTGCTTCAAGAGAACTGGCCTGGCTAATTCATGAAGGAGGACACACAAACCACTTCAACAAGCGTTTAGCTAAGGGCTCAACTCCTCAGGCAAAGGTTGACCACCACAACCATCAATACGGGTCCAATCAGTGACTCACCTGCGGGATGATGGTAAGGTTCTGGCGCAGGTCATGCAGGCCAATGGTTGCTATATCCAGCCCATCAATCAGGATCTTTCCCCCAGCTGCCTCCAGGATGCGAAAGAGGCAGTTAGTGAGGGAGGATTTCCCAGCTCCTGTTCGGCCCACGACACCAACCTGGAGAGAGAGGATCCCAAAGGATCGGGTAAGTTCTTCAGACCTCCCCCACCAATTTCTCTGATTCATTCAGCCTGCTGGCCACCCATCCTTCTGTATCCCTGTTCTTGCTGACTCTCCACGTGATGTATGCAGTGGTCACTACTCTTGGCCAGAAGGCAACCACTGGTGGTTGAGTCACCTGGAAATTTTCAAGCCCGTGAGAAATAAAGCCCAGCAGATCAAGGCTCTGACCACTGCCTCCCCACATCTACAGGTTTCTCCGCACTGCCATAACCCCTTCTCATACAGCCATATTTTCCTTCCCAGCAGCACCTCACCTTCTCCGTGCTCTTGATATCACAGTTGATCCCATCAAGAACCAGCTCTAGCTCAGGTCGATAACGCACCCGGTAGTCCACGATGCAGATCTCCCCTTTGCTGGGCCAGTTGGGAGGTGGTCTCTGCGCTGTCACCCATGGCGCCTGCATGAGGCGGAACAGGCATCAAGCAAGACATGGGAAAATATTTCATTAGTGCCACTCTCCCACAGCTTTGGAAACATGCTCCAGTCCCCCTCTCCAATTTATTGTTAATACTCTTCTCAACCCCTTGGCTCCTCATACCTCATTTGCCACCTGTGTATATTCATGCACACGCTCTACAGCCACGATATTGGTCTCCAGCTCCGACGTCATCCGTACCAACCAGTTGAGTGTTTGAGTCACCTGCATAACAGGAGAGGAGGGGGGTCACTGATGCCACCCCTAATTCTCCAGCCCTTCTACCTGCACCAAATGCTTGTTCAGTCAATGCCGCCCTGTCCAAAAAGAATGTTACTTGCCATGGAACTTGGACACTGGGAACTCTACTCCCTTCCCAAGAACAGTTTCCAATCCTCCCACTTCCCCACACTATCCAGCGAATGGTCCCAGAGTTTCATTAGGGCAGGCTCCTCTCCCCTCACCCCAGATCTATATCGCACTTTATTTTCAGCACATGGTGTCTTGTAACTAGTAAAATACATGGTCGAAATACCAATCAATGTCCTAAAAGGTTTTTAATCCTGCACCTGACCTGTTAGTGCACATACCCAACAGCCAGTTTGGTGTAGTGGTTAAGTGCGCGGACTGTAATCTGGGAGAACCGGGTTTGATTCCCCACTCCTCCACTTGCACCTGCTGGTGTGACCTTGGGTCAGTCACAAGCTCTGGCACAGCTGTCCTTGAAAAAGAGCAGTTTGTGTCAGAGTTCTCTCAGCCCCACCCACCTCACAGGGTGTCTGTTGTGGGGAGGGGAAGGGAAAGGAGTTTGTAAGCCACTCTGAGACTCCAAGTGAAGGGCGGGGTATAAATCCAATCTCTTTTTCTTCTTCTTCTCTAGCCTGCCCACCTCTCTGACCAAGGGTGAGCATACTCAATCACTTACATTGAGAGCTGAGGAGATGGACAGTCCCACAATGCCACCTTCCAAAGAGCCTTTGGAAAAGACAGCCAGCAGTGCCGAAAAGAAAACCACCAGATTGCCCACAAATTCTAGGCGCACAGCCAACCACCTGTAGAAAAGGACAAGTGAAGAAGGATCAAGTCAGCTTTCCACAAGCTCCACAAACAGTACCTCACTCTACACCATAACTAATCCAAACTATGCCATCTAGTGGGGGAGGAAGAGGGCAGCTCCAGTGTTTCAGGATATCAATAATGACCCTCTCAATTATCGGCTTATCAAATGCCCAGTCAGTGCCTCCTCCAGTAGCTGAGAGGGAAAGCACAAACCTCTGAAGTAGATGGAAGCCGCTAGGCAAAGCAGCAGAAAACTACTTTTGCTTCTGGCCGCGCAGGGAAAATGTCCCCTGAAGCCAATGGCTCCTTCTGCCCTTTTACAGAACAGCCTGAGCCTGACCATGTTATAGCCTCACCTGTTGGAAATGATCCAGGAGTATACAGACTTCTGATTGACGTCCACAATTTTCTCATTGTGCAACAGGAAGCGTTCCTGGTGCCCGTAGGCCCGGATAACAGAGAGGCCTGACACTGTCTCACTGAAGTGGGAATAAATGGGAGACCGGGTGACCGAGTCCAGGCGTCGCAGCTGGCGGGATGTGGCCACGTAGAATTGCTAGGAGTAGAGAGAGATCCCCATGAGGTGCACAAGCAGGGCGGGGACCTCACAATCTTGCAGGGGGGTGGGGGGTTATTTTTCTTTCCATCATAAAAATAATCTTCAGATTGAGATAGAAATACTAGGCTATACAGCCTTGCACATATTCCTGAGACAGGACACCAGAAATTATGTCTTTTCAGTCCCTGTCTAAGGCAACAGCCTGTTTTATTCATGTCACTGATACATTTGCACAGAACAGGACCCAGGCGTTCAGCATGCCAGATCAAAGGCAGAGCATGGCAGATCAAAGGGAGATGCTCCTTTAACTTTGTAAGTGTGGTAACTGAAATTTTTCATCTCTGCTTTGCCAACTCTAGTACAACATAGTAAGCAAAATGCTCCAAGCACTGCAAGAACGATTTGAAGGAATGCTTTCTGAAAAAAATGCTGAGTTTCTGTTAAAAAGTGGGATTCAGGTTTGTCTTTCTACATTGCAACAGCAAACAAAAATGGTCTTCAAAGGTCTGGCTTACCAAAATGTGTCATTCACCAAAAGACAGATCCAGATGGGCAGCTGCGTTGGTCAGAAGCAGTAGGACAAAGTATCAGTCCAGTGGAACCTTTAAGACCAACAAACTCTTATTCAAGGTGTGAGCTTTCGTGTGCAAGCACACTTCCTCGGATAAGTGAAATGGAACTTACCAGTCCATACATATAGGCAGAAGGTGAGCAGTAAATCTGTGTGTTTCCCATGGAACTGAATCCAAACAATTGATGACTGTGTGGACTTAACTTGTTATTTCTGTTTGGTTTTTGCATCTGTTAAAACATCTTCATTATGTTAAATGGTAACCATATAAACCAAACTTTTTTTTCCTGATTCTGATAAATATCTTCATTATGTTATAGGCTAATTTACTGCTCAACCTCTGTCTATATGTATGGACTGGTAAGTTCCATTTCACTGTATCCAAGGAAGTGTGCGTACACACGAAAGCTCATACCTGGTGTAACGAAATGGCTGCCAGGCAGAGGCAGCAGTGTATTTTAAAATGGATGCCAGCCTGGTAGTCCTTAGGAGAAGGGAGGTACTCCACAGGGAACAATGGAGCTGCCAAACCTCCCTGCCTACAGTTCCTAGAAGCTTCAGGGAAAAGAGCGGGAAAATATGGACACACCCCAGGGGCAATCTCTAAGACATCAGAAACTGTATACTACAGTTTGCAGTGTGACCAGATAGTCCAGATTTGCTGCTGTCACCAAGTTACAGGCCTGTTTCTCTACACTTTGGTGCTGGGATCATTTCCTAGCTGCTGGCGGCCGTAACTCTTTCTAAACCAGTTTGGTGTAGTGGTTAAGTGCACGGAGTCTAATCTGGAAGAACCGGGTTTGATTCCCCACTCCTCCACTTGCACCTGGCTGGATGACCTTGGGCAAGCCATAACTCTGGCACAGCTGTCCTTGAAAAAGAGCAGTTTCTGTCAAGAGTTCTCTCAGCCCCACCTACCTCACAGGGTGTCTCTTGTGGGGAGGGGAGGGGAAAGGAGTTTGTAAGCCGCTTTGAGACACCTTTGGGTAGTGAAGGGCGGGGGATAAATCCAATCTCTTCTCTTCTTCTAAGAATAAATGTCCGCACAGGAACAGCTTTCTGAGCTAGTATAGAGTATATCTGGTCTTTGAATTTGTGAAATGTGTGCAAATTGCGAAATTCTTATTTCTCTTTCAAAATGAGGCCAAATTCTACGTGCTAAAGGAGAGAGAAAAATCACAGAGCTATTACCTTGTTTAGAATAAAAAGAAGTAATAGATGGCCTTTGAGAATGCAGGGTAGAGCCAGTGTAATGTAGTGGTTACAGTGCCAGACCACGGTCTGGGAGACGCAGGTTCAGATCCCCATTCTGCCATGGAAGCTTGCTGGGTGACTTTAAGCCCAGTCCCACACTCTCAACCTGACCGACCCTCACAGAGTTGTTGAGAGGATAAAATGGAGGAGGGGAGATGGTTGTAAGCCACTTTGGGGTAGAACAGTGGGGAATAAATGAAGCAAATAAGGGTAACTTTGCAGTTTAGTAATCCCAGTAGGCAGTTATGCCTAGTCATTTTTAAAGACTAGATCTCTTTCCAAATATTTGTGGGCAAATAATGAACCCACGCAGAGGGCAAGGAGAAGGTTCAGTCCCGACACTGATCTCAGTGCATGCACAAATCAATCCTACATGCATATCACCCACAGCGACCCTAGCATGGTTCTTACTCACACGGTTTCCAATGAAAGCACGTAGGCTGGGGGTGGAGCTTGCAGCTGCAGTCCCATCTCCCCCACCCCAGGCACATTCATTTCCCCACTCTTGAGACATCTTAGGAGGACTTTGGTCTTCAGCACTAATGGACAGCCAGGTTGGGTTTGGAACTGAAGTCCAAGAGTTCAAGGAAATGTTCTAAATGGAGACAGGTTGTCAGTGTCCTGGAGACACAGAGTCCCAACTCACCTGAACAAAGTAGTAGAGGATACCCAGCGGCACAATGATAATTCCAAAGTAAGGTGTAGCCAGGCAGATCAGCAGCAATGTACTGAGAATTCCCAAAAAGCAGCTCAGCCAGCTGCGGAATGACATTGGAATGGTCTCATCCACTGTGAAAATGTCCTGCAAAGGAAGAGGAAGATGAGAACAGAGATGGTGGCATGGAGCACAGAAAGCCTGAAAAGGAGATTAGAAAGATTTATTTTGGAGAGGTCCATCAATGGCTACAAGTGACGCAAAATTACTACAAAGTTTGAGTCCAGTGGAAGCTTTAAGACCAACAAAATTTAATTCTGGGCATAAGCTTTCTTGTGCATGCACACTTCTTCAGAAACAGGGAAACATTAATCAGATACATACCTCAAGCCTGACATATAGGTAGAGAGTGGGTGGGGGTGGGGTTAATTGCCAGGAAGGGCTAGTTAGCATCTTGACTCTAACTAGACCTTCCTGGCAACTAACTCTCTCTCTCTCTACCTATATGTATGGACTGGTAATTTCCATTCCATTGTATCTGAAGAAGTGACCGTGCACACAAAAGCTTATACCCAGAATAAAACTTTGTTGGTCTTAAAGGTGCCACTGGACTCAAACATTGTTCAGTTGCTTCAGACCACCGTGGCTACCAATCTGGAATAATTACTGACAACTACATCAGAGCTTGTGTAAGAGAGGGGGATGGCAATTCCTGCTTAATTCTCCTTGCTGAGGTGTTGTGCCTAAGCCAACTTTTTCTCAGGAGCACTTTGTACAGGGGGGGGGGGGGGGAGAGCCTGAAAAGGAGAGATCCATTCTGTGAATGCCTTTGGGTCACAATTCATGGGCTCCAAGCTTGAGTCCAATCTAGCTGGATGCTTATGAGCCACCTTAAGGTTAACAGCAGTCCTATGAGGGGAGCTTCCTGTTCATGGAAGGGTTGCTGACAGAAAGAGGAGGCTGGAGGCTGAAACCCCTGTTTGTGGAGGACCATGAATGGGAGGAGGCACAAACAGTGCAAAAGGCGATTACTGCACACAGGTCATTGTTCTTTGTCGTTTCTTGCTTCATTTATACCCTGCCTTTCTCCCCAGTGGGGACCCAACGTGGCTTATGCCCTTCTTCTTGCCTCCATTTTATCCTCACGACAACCCTGTGAGGTAGGTTAGGCTGAGGCAGTTACTGGCCCAAGGTCACCCAGCAAGCATCCATGGCAGCAGGGAGATTTGCACTTGGGTATTTCAGATCTTAGTCCAACAATCTAACCATGCTGGCTCTCCCTGTTTATACTGTGTACCATTAGTATATGTGGTGCTCTGCAGTTTCATAACGAGAAAAATAGGCCCCTGTTCCCATGGAGTTTCAGTTTGCTTTCTCCAGGTCTATAATCCCCCTACTTTTATACAACCCTTCCTCCAAGGAGTTCAGAGAAGCACATATATATTTTCCCCTACCCATTTCACAACAACCATGTAAGGTAGGTTAGACCGAGAGAGAATGACTGGCCCAAGTGAGCTTCATGACAGAGTGGGATTGAACCCTTGTCTCCAGTGCCCTAGACTTAGGGCTTTTCCGCATTCTCATTTTACTTGATTGCTAAATTTCTGTCTCTTGGGGTTTTTTTCTGTTCCACATGTTTGGCTCCCTCTGGTGATCAGTTCAATATCACACAGCTTTCCCCCCAGTGTATCTCCCTGCAGGTTTTTATGCTGGGGAAAAAGCTGTATGATATCGAATTGACCACTAGAGGAAGGGAAAACACTTGCAGAACAGACTACCCCCCCCCCCCCCAGAAATGAACTTAGCAGTGAGTAAAATGAGGATGTGGAAAAGCCCTTACACTCTAACCACTTCACTGTACCAGCCCACAGTGTGTATTGGTACTGTATCAAAGACTATGGAAACTGCATCTATCACTGAATTCTTGAGGGATGACATGTGTCTGTGAAGAAAGTCTAGGCCATGAATGCACTAAGCCAGAGCTAATCACATTAACAGCCATTACAGAAACATCATGTGTCCAACTGAATTCATGCCCATTTCCCAACATGTCCTCAGCATGTTATTGTATAAGGCACTGGCCTATTCCTACAAGCCAAGTCCCTGATGTAGCCCAAAGGCTCACAAGGCCTATTTTTGTATCCCCGGTCCGTCGGGGAACTTTCAGGCTTCACAAAGCATGAACTTGTACCTTGGCAAACCTATTCACAATGCGGCCTGTTGGCGTTGTATCGAAGAAACTCATGGGCGCTCGGAGGATGTTACTGAGCAGCTGCAGGTGCAGGAAGCGGGAGGCTCGTACGGCACCGTTGGAAGCAAGAAAGGATCCGGCCAGTAGGAAGAGAGCTGGAATGAATACATACATTGATGTGGGCCAAATACTTATGCAGATGCTGGCAGGGCTAACCCTAGGAATTTAAGCTGAATATGGCACAGGTCCACCTGCCTTGGAGTTCTGCTCTTTAGCTATCAAACCTCTGCTGCGAGCCTACAAATTCTTCGGACTATAACTGGTTCCACAATGATGCTCTCTGCAGTCTGCCACTCTGGACAGCTGCTTTAACTTTAACCTTGGTTCCCAACAAAGGGCTGGTCGCAGAAGGGGTGGGGTAGACAGTGCTACAGCAGCCGTGGCTAATCAGAGGCAAACATTTTGCCTTTGCACACTGGCATACGTGAAGGTAGCACTGTGCACTGAGGGGTGGGGGGGGCAGAGATAAAGGGTATGCTTGCCACTCCCACTTCTGCACACCAGGCAGCATCTGCCTTGCCGTGTTAAATATTTGTGCACAGCAATCAGTGACAGCGACACAACAGAAAAGAGACAGCCAGAAAGACAAATCAGATAAGATATGCAAGATCAGTGATGAGATGGGAACCTGAAATCTTTCAAAGTATTTAATTGTCCTCAGTAGCAACTGCAAGGGTGATGGACAGAGGGGATGTTAGTTCTTGCCCTGTGCTATTTCTGGGCTCACTCCCTGTATTAGACTTCAGCAGGGAGAAAAAATGTTTCCATCCCCAGAATGCAGCAAGGTAAACTGTGTAAGGGAACAAGGTTTAGCTTAGATCCCCTTGCCCACATGCTCTGGTAAAATAAATCAGCATGGCTTCTGCAAAGGGAAGTCCTGCCTCGCCAACCTTTTGGAGTTCTTTGAGAAAGTGAACAGCATGTAGACAACGGTGACCCAGTAGGCATTATATACCAGGACTTTCAAAAGGCTTTTGACAAGGTACCTCACCAAAGACTCCTGAGTAAACTTAACAGCCATGGGAAATGAGGACGGGTCCTCTTATGCATTAAAAACTGGTTAAAGAACAGGAAGCAAAGAGTAGGAATCAATGGACAGTTCTCACAATGGAGGGGAGTAAGCAGTGGGGTCCCACAAGGATCAGCATTGGGGACAGTACTATTTAACTTATTCATAAATGATCTAGAACTAGGGGTGAGTCGTGTAGTGGCCAAGTTTGCAGATGACAACAAATTATTCAGGACGGTGAGAACCAAGGCTGACTGTGAAGAGCTCCAAGAGGACCTCCACAAACTGGGTGACAATGTGCCAAATGAAGTTCAGTGTTGGTAAGTGTAAAGTGATGCACAAACTGGGTGACAATGTGCCAAATGAAGTTCAGTGTTGGTAAGTGTAAAGTGATGCACACTGGGACAAAAAAGTCCCTGCTTCAAGTATGGGCTAATGGGATCTGAACTTGCTGAGACTGAGAGGGGAAAAAGATCTTGGGGTTGTAGTGGATAGCTCAATGAAAGTGTCAACCCAGTGTGCTGCAGTGGTGAAAAAGGCAAACTCTGTGTTAGGGATTATTAGGAAAGGGATTGAGAATAAAACATCTGATACTGTAAGGCCCCTGTACAGATCTATGGTGCAGCCTCATTGGAATACTCTATACAGGTCTGGTCACCCTATCTCCAAAAGGACACGGCAGAGCTGGAAAAAGCACAGAGGAGGGCAACCATGATGATTAGGGGTTTGGAGCACCTTCCCTACGAGGAAAGGCTGGAGAGTCTGGGATTTTTCAGTTTAGAAAAGAGATTACTAAGGGTAGGGGGACATGATATAGGTTTATCAAATTATGCATGGGATGGACTGAGTTGACAAAGATAAATTTTTCTCTCTCCCTAAATTCTAGAACTCAAGGACGTCCAATGAAACTGATGGGCAGTAGATCCAGGACGGACAAAAGGAAATACAACTTTACAAAGAGAATGATTAAAATATGGAATTTGCTGCCAGAAGATATAGTGATGGCCACAGGAATAAACATCTTTAAATAGATTCATGGAGGATAAGTCTATCGATGGCTACTAGCCATGGTGACTGAGAGGAACCTCCACATTCAGAGGCACTAAACCTCTGAATCCCAGAGCCAGGAGGCAACATCAGGGAAAGGCCTCAGCCCCTATGCCCTAGTGTTAGCCCCCCAGAGGAACTGGTTGGCTACTGTGTGAGACAGGATGCTGGACTAGATGGACCACTGGTCTGATCCAGGAAAGCTGTTCTTACGTTTTGTTCAAAAATAGATATGTCCCTTCCAGCTTCTTTAAACATAAATAGGCCCCGGTCACACGAAAGGTTTTGGGCCGGGAGAGGGACAGATCGGGGGCGCAGCAAATGAGCGCGATCCCACCGCAACATCTGGGAAGTGTTGCGCACCCGTCCCCAATCCGGCCCTTCCTCCCAAAAAGCCGCAGCAAAACTAAACCACCTACCGAGGTGGACCTTCCAGCACGGCCGCATCAAGCCTGGCCGTGGGATCGCCGGCGTGTCCTTCTGCTGGTGCATCCCAGGGTCCTGGCTGAACTGCGCATGCTCACACATGCACAGTTCGGCAGCCTCCCTTTCCCCACCGTGGCCTCCCCCGGCATCTGATCGTGCCGGGGACGGAATGCGCCCAAATGTGATCCTGCCATGGCGTCTCTATTTTGGTGCGGCTTCCGAAAGCCACACTTTGCCCGTACCTTTCCCCCCGTGTGGCAGGGACCATAGGTGAACATATGTAGATACACAAAGTTATCTCCACTTTGTTGGCTACCAAAGTTCCTGCTCTGCAGGCAAAACATTTTACTTTCTATAAAATGGGGATACTTTATCCCATCAAGCTAAAATTTGGCAAAGAGCATCCCATGGGTGTGGTGTACAATCCCTGAGAATTTCATGCAAACTGGGCAGTGGAAAGGCTTTCAGCCATTGGAGCCACTGGAAATGAAAACAACTCAATAACAAAACAAGTAGCTTAAATTAAAGAAAACCAAATCAAGTTTTTAAAACAAGAAAACAAGTCAAAAATGAACAAAAAACCTTGCTAATCTCTAGTCTGAAGGATCTGGGTAAACAGGGAGTGTGAAAGACCACAGCCTGAGACCCTGGAGATCTGCTGCGAGTCCAAGGAGACATTACAGACCTTGATAGACCACTGATCTGCCTGAGTAAGGCAGCTTCAGGTGTTCAGAATTTTCGAAGTCTTTTGATTGGTATAAATTATTGTCTTCTACATAGAGGGCCTAACGCTATCAGCCAACTACAGTGACTGCAATCAAACTCACCCATAATTCTTGCAAACTATAGTTCATCAGCAAACTCTCTTCCAGAACTTACAATGGCAGTGGAACAGATCCTACCCAGTCTACATTCCTTAATCAGCTTTAAATTTAAGAGGCATACCTTGGACCACACCCAGTGCCCCATAGACTCCAACACGCATGTCACGTTGGGTGGCCGGGTACGTATCATTCTGGTTGAGTTTCTGGGCATCATTCGTCCAGGCACTAAGCCACAGGCTGGAACCGACTGTGGCCACATATTGCCCAAGGTAGGCAATGAAGACCCATATCGAGAATCCGCTCCCAACAGCACGCAAATACTGCAGGTACACAGTGAACTTCACCTGCAGGGTAGAGACTTGTAATTAGCTGACTTATGGTGGGTTCCCATGATGTATCCTGCAACAGCAATTACATTCCCGACCCATGCTTGAATGCATTAACATGCACTTAGGTACAGTGCCAAAAATGAACAGCTGTCATGGCCATCACTGATCAGGTCTGGTTATAAAGGAGGCCATGGTGTGGGGTATTACTATTCTTATTTCTAGGAACTGATGAGATGAGCTCTAGCTACCTCCTGTAAAAGGGATGTGACAAGGCTTCTGTAGTCTCCACTTCCTTCTCTCTGAGACCCATGGTGGTACGTGCCCAAGTTATGAGTCAAAAAGAGTATTTTTGGTGCCACACTCTCACCTTGCCAGTTTCCACAGCCTCATTTTCAATCAGCCTCTGTCCTTTCACTTCTTCCATGGACTTCAACCTGTTCAGTTTTCTTTGACCGGACTTGACAAGGGACATGTTGCTGCTGTTGCTAAGGCTGGAACAGGAGAACAACAGGGTGAGATAGTTCTGAGTTTTCCCCTTCTTGCCTGTGCACTACGTATGTACGCATGCAAGTGCCTTCAGGATGCAACCAATTTATGGTGACTCAAACAAGTGCATTCAAGGCAAGTGAGAAGCAGAGGAGGTTTGCCATTGCCTGCCTCTGCAGAGACTTCCTTGGTGATCTCCCAGCCAGTTACTGACCCTGCTTAGTTTCAAAGATATGATGAGGTTGGGTTGTATCATGCCACTTCCCTCTCTGCATTGCACTAGCGGGACTCCTGTCTGCTGCTGAATGGTGTTGCACAGTTCTTCACATGTTTCATTTCTAGCCGCCCACCTCCAATGTCATTGTCCCACATCAGCTGGCTTTGGCTCTTCCCACCTCAGCAGAAGTGGCTGAAGTCAGCAAGGCTGCACAGAGTTCTAGGATGAAGCTCAGAATCCCAGGATGTCTAAAGAGAAGGCCATGGCAGAACCATGGAATCCAGGCAACACCCCCAGAGTTCAGGGGGAGACAATGTTGCAGAGAAAGGGTGGGGTAAAAATCCATGAATAGTAATAAATAGCCCTGAGCCTTGCAAGCATTGCAAAGATGTTGACAGGATGTGTGTGCGGAAGATGAAATGATTGGCTGACAGTGCTGTTTAATGATGTCAAGAGATGAGAGGTTGCCAAAGAGGAGAGAAATATTTCCTTAGAAATGCAAGTTTTGGAGCTTCCGGTTAATGGCAACACGCTAGCAGACATCTCTCCCGGACCTCCAGGGAGACGATCTGAGCGCCTGCGGTGAGGAGGGGGCTCGACTGTCCGTTGCCCCCCCATGGAGCCGGTGCAAAAGGCTCCTTGCCATGGGGCTTTTGAGGGGTAGCCTCTTCCACAGCAAGATGCTGCGGAATTGAGGCACTCCTCCGCCCTGATGGTCCTGCCACCCTAATGATTCAGAGCCGCCGGCCGGGACAAGCGTTGGAGATCGGGCGATTTAACCACGATCGAGCGAGATCCCTGGACCAAAAATGAACAGTGAGTCAAGTAAAAAAAGAGATGCCAAAAAACTAAAAGAAAGCCCCCCCCGCCCCCTGGGAACAGTGAGACGAGCGAGCAGGGGAGGGGTTCCTCCCACATGCATAAACAAAACAACGATTTGCCAAGGGGGGAGCAGAAGTAAAAACGTGGAAATATGTTTTAAGAGACTTACCGGAGCGTAGATAAGCGCTGGGGCGAATTTCAGAGACTTTAGCAACTTTTACTAAAAGTAAATAAGCCTCAAACATGATGAGGAAGAAAACGGAGAAAGACAAGCTAGCAAAAATGAAACTAACAGGAGGCTTGAGTCCCCGGCTGGAGGACTCCTCAGAGCTATCCAAAATGCTAGCAGAAGCCATGCGCCCTCTGTTGGACCAAATGACCAACGTTAACCAGCAGCTAACTGTACTGAATCAAAACCTTGCAGCTCAGCAGCTCCAACTAGTGGAAATCACAAAAATAACGGAGCAAACAGTGGAAAAAGTCAAGGAAGTGGATGCAAAGACCAAAAAAGTCAAGAAAAAGGTGCAAATGCTGGAAAAGAAAAGAAATTCAGGTGAATTTCAAATTTTTCAGCTGAAAATGGAGAGAGCTAACCTAGTCCTCCGATTCCAAGGGGTCCCTGAGACAAAAGGAGAGAATCTAAAAGAACTTTTGAGTGAAGCATTAGCTCCAGTTACAGATTTAAAAGCGGAATACTTGATAAGCAAAATGGAAGTGATCTATAGATCCTATTCCAACTATATCAAGAAAAATAATCTGCCTGGAGAGATTGTGGTTAGTTTCTCGAAGAGACATGTCAGGGACTTTATACTCAAAACAACTACAGAAGTGCTGCTAAAAATGGGAGGAAACAACATCAGAATTTTTAAAGATATCCCATTTGAAATCAGGAAGAAGAGGAAGGCGTATAAAGACCTAATATCGTTTCTGCAAACGAACAGCATTGCCTACAGATGGCTGATTCCCAAAGGCGTCACCTTTAAAATTAAGGACAAAAAAGAAAAGATTGACTCTGTCTTTAAAGCACATGAGTTCCTGAGATTACTATTGGGAGAGCCAGGAGAGGTCGGTGGGGAAGAAGAACACAGTAAATCCAGTGAAGATATGGATTCTGCTTCAGATAAGGAGGCGGCAGCCCACAAGCGAGACTATCAACTGAGGAAAAGAAAAAACAAAGCTAAATAAAGGCTGAAGGACTCTGAATTGTGCCTTAAAACATTTACTTTAATGTTGCTCTTGGAATTTTCTTAAAATAGTTAAATGATGGGCTAAAAGCTAAATATATTAGCATAAATGACCATGCTCAATGTAATCTAAGCATGTTAAGAATAACACTTATACAAGCTAATGTAAAGATCTCCTATACTTGGGGTTTTAGTTATTAGTGGTTTACTTTCCTGTATCCTTAGTTGTAGTTGTTTCCCCTTCCCATTTTTTCTTTGTAGTTTGTAGTCTTTAGAAAATGCAATAAAAAATCCCCTTCGGGGGTTCAAAAAAAAAGGGAGGGAGAGAAATGCAAGTTTTCTCATGCAAAATGTTTAAATAAAATCTTTTTAAAAATACCAACTTCTTGGTGGAAAGTACCATTAAGTTGCAGTTCACTTATGGCAACCCCAGGGGGTTTCCAAAGGAATGTTGCCATTGCCTGCCTCTGCATAGCAGCCCTGGACCTCCTTGATAGTCTCTCATCCAAATACTAATCATGGCTGACCCTGCTTAGCTAGCCTGGGCCATTCAGGTCGGGCTGCCAGCTTCTTAGGGGGGCCCTTACCCCCCCCTCCCCACTTCAGGGCCTAACTGGACAAGGCAGATAAATGTTCTAAAAGGAAACAGCCAAAGGAGACGTGGGACAGGCAGGGGCTCAGAGGGAACAGAATGAAGACGGGTGAGAACAGTGAAATAAATTCAAGATAAGGTGGCCATAGGGTCTGGCCTGAGTTCACAGAAGGCTCTGACCTACGGGTGAAGTTTTTCTGCTGAATACTGGCTTCGCTCTTCTGGGTCATGGTCACTATGTCAGCTGGCATCTCTTCAGCTCCAGGCTCAGGGTCTCCATCTAGTTCCAGCTCTTCACCCATCCCCACTAGAAGTCAAAAGCATGGAATAATCCCACATTAGGATGTTGGTAACCGTAGGAAGAATGATTCTTAAGGGCCATCATATTAGGTCACCTTACGGATGGGCATTTGTCTCTTCTGCTCAGCGGGGCCGTAGCTAAACCCTTCCTTGTGGGGGTCCCTGGGGAAAGTGGGGGAGGCCGGAGTGTGTGCGCACGCGCGCAAAGCACACATGCGCCGCACACACATCACCCCAGGCACGCTGGGCACGCCCCCAGCGTGCCCCGCATTGGCAATAAAGCTACGAGCCTGCTAAGCACATTTTACTCTCCTTGTAATCACAAAGCAGAATTTTACTCTCCATGTAATTCACAAAGCACAATCTTCTCTTGCACTCACCTAGCACAGCCAAAACCATGTGCGTCTCCGCCCCCTCCCCACCTCAAGGAGGGATCTCCAGCCCACAAAGCCGCCAGTCTCAGGGAAACAGCATTCACACGAAACGTGTGACCAGAGGAGTCGAGGCACAGGCTCGCCCAACTTTGCAAACGGGTCGCCCAATTTTGCAAACGCGTCAAATCCCATCCCGCAGTCATTGGAACAAAAAGAGACCACAGGAGTGTTTCTAATGGAATGAGAGGCTTTGGTTTGACCGCCGTGCTGAAAGGACGCCGCTCCAAACCACTCGGGCGGCCATCTGCAAGGGGCCGTGGTGCGCTGCGAAACCCAGACTGAAAGCGCGTTCCTCTGCACGTGAGTGGAAGCGCCCCCCGCCCCGAGGCTTCTCCTTACCGCTTGGGATAGAATGCAAAACAGGACGCCCAGCCCTTCCTCACGGATACTTCTTCCCTGCCCGGGGCGCGGGGAGGGGGGAGAGTCGCCCCCGCCTCACCTCACGCTGTTCCGTGAGAGGGGGGGGGAGAGTTAGCGCGGGACTCTGCCTGGAAGCAGACACTGGCCTAGTCGACGGCAACTCTCCCGAAAGTTTCCATGGAAGCCACCGGAGTGCAAGGCAGTCCCAGTTCATACCACGCGCTCCACTCCGGCGGGAAGGGACGAGGAAGGGGGTCCTCATCTTCGCCTACTCACTCACCCATTTCGCCCGGCTTCCCGCGCCACTCTGGCGACCGCCCAGCGAGGCTGCTCCTTGGGGAGAGCTGGCTGCCACTCCTGGAGACCCTCTGGCGCGCTCCTGCTGAGAGCTGCCGGCCCCTCCGAGCCGCCGCCTTCTCCCCCTGCGCGAGGGAGGCGGAGGCGGATCTGGAATCCCCTCCTCCGCATTCCTCTGGACACCCAAGCCTTAGCCCCCACACCAGTTTTCAGGGCCAAAGCTCAGCTGCGGTGACTTCCCAGTCATAACGGTGTGCACCAGAGAAGGTGTCCTGAGCATGTGCCGAGTGCCTTTCCTCCCCCCCAATGCCAGACTAACTCCCCGGCTCGGCTGCCGCTGCCGCTGTGGGCTCCTCGGGGCCTCGCTCGCTCCCGTCGTCGAGGCAGGCCGTGGTGTGTGTGTGTCGTGCAAGGCGGCGATCGAAGTGCTGCTGCGCCGGCCGGGGCGTCTTTCTAGCTGGGCGCTGGGCGGGCGAGGTCACTGGAGGAAAAGTCGCCGTCGGAGGCTCGGAAAGGGCGCGGCGGCCCCGTTGGGATGGGGGGATCCGTGCAGGCGGAGGGGTGGTGTGTGTGTGTCTCTGCCTGCAGACGGGAACCCTGAGGGAGGGGGCCCGCAAAACCAGTGGGGAGGCCGGGCCCCATGGGCCCCACGTGGGCTACGGGCCTGCTGCTCAGAGACAAGTTTTGACACGTGACTCATCCTTGATCAAGATGCATTGCGGAAGGTGACCTCAGCTAGTACCCCTTAACCCCATTTAGGGTGATGCCTCTTACCCATGACTTCCTCTTCGGGCATGTTCTCTTGTTGGTTCCCATATGTGGTGAGCAACTGAGCAAACTCCCCACCATTAGCCAGTAAGGTGCTGTAAGAACCCTGTTCTGACACAGCTCCAGCCACCAGCATCACAATGTCATCAACTTGTGCCAGGAAATTCAGGCTGTGGGTCACTAGGATCCGCGTCTGTGGTACAAAACAGGATACTAAACTCAGAGGACAGTATCAAGATGGCATCCATACCAGCCACACCACAACCTAGACTTGTTCCTTTAAATAGACGGGTCCTATAAAGACTACACACCCTTTACCTGGACCTACTTTTTAAACCTAGGCCCATTCTTCACAGTCCTACCACTGTGTGCTTTGAAAACTCAGAACAGTCTCCCGTCCTCCAACAAAATGGCCTCTCATCCCTAGAAGACTGGCCCTGGAAACCCTACTTAGCATACTCTTGTTCTGTTCAGCCAAACTCCGAAGTGTGACAACCACTTTCTCCCCAAACCCAGGACCATGAGGCAAAAAACCCTCACCTTATGCTGCAGCAGCCCATCTGGTCCCAGTACTTTGTCAAAAATATGTCGTCCTACATGTGAATCCACAGCTGAGAGGGGATCATCCAGCAAGTAGATATCTGCATTGTTGTATACAGCTCTAGCCAGGCTAACGCGTTGTTTCTGGCCTCCACTTAGGTTAATTCCCTGAATAAGAAAACAGCCAGGCTTAGTCTTCTGGGCTCTCTTTGTGGTTCACCCAACACAGATCAACCTAACAGAGTCCAGACTACAACTATATCGCAAGCACAATACAAGAACTCAGAAACCATGAACAGCAGATCTATTAAGGAAATGAGCCAAGCCATAGATTATAGATCAAGTCACAAACCAAACATTAACAAAATCTGAAACAAACAAATTACTGAGGATGCACAAAGTAGATACCCCCCTTTTCTTGAAAAATAGAGCAAGATTCTTCTAAACCAGATGGGCAGGTAGTTTTCCAATAGCCTCCATGATCCAAAATTTATCTACGCCAGGCATGCAAACATTAACTTTCTTGGTCATTTGGAGGCAAATTAAAATCACCCCTAGATGAATAGATAGGAAACTTATGTAAACTGGGAGATCGATTAAATTTGCTTGCAGCTATTAGCTAATGACCAAAAGAAAATGAAACTTGTTTTTCTTTCAGGCTGCCAGCATTCTCTAAAAAATATGTGTGGTCTACCAAGTCTTTCTAGCAGGCCAATCACTCTTCTGGACTTATTTGCAAGGCTGCTAAACTTACTGAATTATATGAATAGATTCCATATTCTCACTCACATACAGGAGTCATTGGTTTGCCTACATAAAAATGACTGTGCTGCAGTGTTCATCAGGAAGTCCTTTCAGCCTCTTTGCCCTAGTTGTATCACCATCCCGGAACACCACCCTGCCCTTCTGCCACTGTGCCCAAAGTTGGTACCTTCTCCCCAATCTCTGTAAGATCTCCTCCGGGAAGCAGCTGCAGGTCTGGAAGTAGGGCACATGCCTCTAGCACTTGTTGGTATCGGGCTTCATCAAGGGGTGACCCAAAAAGGATGTTGTCCTTCAGTGTGGCATTCTGAATCCATGCCTGTTGAGGCACATATGCCACGGAGCCCTGCAGAAAACAACATCCATGTAGCAGCTTACCAGGGAGCAGACAGCAACAGACTAGTACGGAAGCCCAGGTGGGAGTGACTGTGGACAGGGTGGAGGCATAGGGGCCAGGAAATAAAAGGGAGAGATGCAGGACTTTAGGGAAGGAAGAAGATGGGCCTGGAGTGCATCTGCAAGGAGACAGGACTATGCAAGAGTGTGACAGGAGAGCTGACTGAGGTCCAAGAGGCAACAGGAATCAGGAATGCTGCAGTAATAGCCTGTGCAGGAGCCTGTGAAAGACAGCTGGAAACTCTCCAATCCTGCCGTTAGCAGAGAGAATGAAGGAAAATGCACCTTCCAGAGAGAAGCAACCAAGAAGCCAGCTGTCAGCCTTCCTACAGGAGAAAGGACTGGCCTCAAGGGTAGGGCTGTTGGAGGGCTAAGGAGGAGTGTGGCATTTAAAGAGAGGCAACCCAGGTGAGAGACTTGGGGAAAATGGAATGGGAGTTAGCCAATGGGCAAACTAAGAAATTTGCAGTAAAGTAGCAGTGGAGGTTTAGTTGATCCTGGGGAAACACCTTGTGGTGAGAACAGAGAGCAACTAAATAAAGAGCACCTGAATCACAGTACTTGGAGTTTCTCCAGGTACCAATAGGTTTTGTGGATGTGCATTAGCCAACCTGTAGGCGGACATATGCACAGCAACATCAGCACACTGAAATGCTAAAAAAACCCTCACTGTTTCCCATCAGTGACAAAGCCTAGAGAGTCTCCGCATAATGGAGGAGCATGGCTCGCAACCATATTGCTCTCTTCATTTGCACGATATATGTATTAAACGTGTGGATTTCCCATAGTTCCATTTCATCACGCAGGGCTCTACTCCCTCCATATAGCCACTAGCTCACACAGCGGCCTTGGTTTCCCATCTCATATTACCCCCACCTCTCCTCACCTGAATATTGACATGCCCCTTGATGTTCTCCATCTCACCCAACATGGCTGACAACAAAGAGGATTTTCCAGATCCCACAGCCCCCACTACAGCCACCAAGTGCCCATGTGGAATTTTCAGGGTTATGCTGCAAGGAAAAGTAGCACATGGACCAATGATAGGTAGGTATTTATTTAGATATTTATACCCCACTTTATCCCCAAAGCAGTTTACAACACCCTTCTCCTCTCCTCTCCTCTCCTCTCCTCTCCTCTCCTCTGTGAGGTACATTATTAGGCTGAGAGAAACTGACTGTCCCAGGTTCACCCAATGAGCTTCAATGCAAGAATGGGAATTCAAACCTGAAGGATGTAAATGGAAGCAAGTGACACGACCCTGGGCCCAGAGGAAAGCCACCCCTGATCAGAGGAGCCATAAAATAATGTCTCCTTGGATCAAGAGTTAGGATTAACTTTTCCTGCTTGACCCAAAATGTTATATGAACTTATTAAACTGCTTTCTACTGAGTCAGACCATTGGTCTGTTTAACGCAGTATTGTCATCTCTGACTGGCAGTGGCTCTTCAGGGTCTAAGGTAGGGAAAAGTCTTTCCCTGCACATTCTACTTGAGATTCTTTAACTGGGGATGATGGGGACTGAACCTGGGACCTTCTATATACTAAGCTACAACCGCTCCACAAATAGACAAGTAGTCCTCCTGCCCTTTATCTCTCCTTCCCAAAAGCAAAAGATCACATGTGTCCCATCAGTTTCTCCTCCTCCAGTGCAAACGATGGCATATGTGGTGACTCACTCTCTAATGGTGGCATCAGAGTTCCGTTCCCAGGCAAAGGAAGAGTCAGAAAAACGCACAGCACAGTCTGGGGGTAAAAATGCCAGAAGAGAATCATCACCAAGGGCAGAGGACACAAACTACACCCATTCTCTTGCACACTTCCACCAGCCTCCTGCATTCACTCCAGAACTCTGCTGGCCCCAGCCCCAGCCTTCAGTTACCAGGGTCGGGGTCATGCCATATTGCGGAAGTGTCCAGGTCATCACTTCCCAGGTACCGTTCAAGCCGCTCTGTAGATACGGTGACCTGTGAAGTAGGGAGGCAACATCAGGCATGGGGTTGCTTGGGCACACTGACACTTACTGAGGGGCACCACAGCCCTACAGACTGATTTAAGATTACTTGGTCTGAAACTGTCTGCTGTTACATCATATAACACGCCATCTCAATGAGTGATGGGATGTTTAGTACTACTAGCACTTTATGATGACCTGAATGTTTTAAAATGTTATAAATGTCTTTATGTGGGTTTTATGGTACCTTGTACCGATTACTGTAAGCTGCCCTGAGCCTGTTCGCGGGGAGGGCGGGATACAAATGGAATTAATAAATAAATAAATATAGGACTGTGGCATACAGGCCAATCCTGATTGAGCACAACCCAGAACCCAACACAGCATGACCACAAACTCTTTGCTGCACTGGGGTTATGCACCCCTCTCCCTCCATATCAGTTATCCGTGGCACGTCTGCTTACCTGCACCAGGGAGGAGAGCACCAGAGGGAGCATGGTGAGGGGGAAGCGCAGCACATTAAAGAGAGCGATAGAGGTGAAGGCCTTCTGTGCATCTAAGACGTTCTCCTCACCCACCATTACATAAACCGCAAATGTTACCACAGAGACCTGGGGACACACCAAGAGACACACGGGTGAGCTGTGAATTCTGCACTGGAAGGAGTACAAGGAATTAAAAGAGTACACTGTGTCGGGCAGTTACAGCACCCTAAAGCTTGTGGTTGTAGGGAAGGGTAAAACCGCCATCTAGGGAGGAACGCAAGAGAGGGAGAAAGATTTACTTTCTGTGCCAAACCCACACTGGACCCCTAAAGCTGCCATCTCACCTCCTAGAGGAAAATCTCAGTAATTGCTCATTTGTATCTGTTAAATATATAGGAGTTAGGACGGATCCAATCAGCTTTTTCACTACTGGTGGAAAAAGAAGGGTGGTGTCCTGTTTGACCACCCAAAAAGGTTACACTGAGAAACATGGGGCCTACACATACAAAAACCATGAGGAATGGGGTCTGTAGTATGGAGAGGAATTAAGTGAATGAAAATCTTGGATACACCCAATACTTTAAATTGTTCTTTCTTTTAGTGCCTGATTTTACACTTTCAAAAGATTATGACACAGCTTAAATTCATTACCAAAAGAGGACATGCTATACAATTCCCACTGACCCATCCACTTTAAAATTGCATTTCTGGATCAGACCAAATTACCATTTAGTCCAAAACTCTGTCTCCAACAGAGCTAGACAGCTGCCCCTTGGAAACCCTCACAAGCAGGGCACAAGGAGACAATTATCCCTTATTGGTGGTTTCTAGCCCCTGACAGGTGCATCTGCTATGAATTTATCTAGACCTGAATTTGCTTTTATATTGCTAAGCACATAGAAACATTATTCAGGAAGTTTGGGATTCCTAGATCATGTCTAGATGCCATGTTCAAGGGTCAGGAAGGCTTCAACATGCCTATCATTCTGCAGAATGTGTAAAACAGAAATGCTCAGGAGGAAATTTTTAGAAAGGGATTAGAATTCTGGTATAACAGATCAGTTTAGGAGGGCACTTTCATATAATTGTAGTCTAGTGGCTTGTTTATTGTATCTTGCTTTTACCACACTGTATTCTATGTGTATAATCCAGTCTCTTCATTGTTTATAGTATATCATGCCTTAGACGCTTTTTGTTTGCTTCCCCCCCTAATTCTGTAATCCTATTCCTATTAGATATTTTATTGGGTGAGTATGTCTGCTTCCTTCTTTAAAAAATATTTTGTAATCCACCTTGAGTCTCAGTGAGAAAGGCAGCCTATAATGTAAACAAAATAAATAAACAAGGTAAAAGCGAAGTGGCCATTTTAGGATTTTGAAGCTCATCATTTTAGGAACCATTTTAGGAACCAATTTAACACTTTTGCCTCAAGTAGTGAAAAGGTTAAGCATATCTCTACCATGAAAACGGGCTCCAGACTTACATTATTAAAAAATAAAAGCTGGACCTTTGAGAACTTAGACAGATTGTTGTAATACTGTAGCTATCATTATATCATTAACTGCCTATTAAAGGAAGCCTGGAAAAGCCCCTGGTGATGGTGGGGATGGCTGCTACCAGGGGATTGGGGCAAAGACACTGGGGGGAAACATGCTGCACAGAAGCCCCCATTGCAACTGCGCTGTATACTCAACCACAGCAGCAAGAGGAAAACCACACAAGCCTCACACCGTGTGGAAAACAGAGCTGCAAGTGGCAAGCCTACTTCCATGACTAGCAGCTTACACCTGCTTTTGTATGAAATGCAGGATCCCACAGCTCTAAGTTCTAAGATCTAAATGGATTTCTCTAGGATGTCCCCAACACTGGCTTCTTCTGGACAAGATTCACAGCTGACACAGCCCAACCCTTGAGCTCTTCAGATTGGGTATCTGTTGACACTGAGAATGCACAGAGTTCTCAAACTTGCTGCCCCCAAGGTAATAAAACATCCCAAGCACAAGGTCACAGTAGTTCTCATGAACAGTAAGGCTACCTGTAACCCTGGATGCCATAGTAGACTTCACAGCTAAGAGAAAAAGGAAACACAAGCCAAATAGTCTTCTCTATGCCTGGCTGACACAGATTTGCCATCTATGAATATTGGGTAGACTATCTTATTTAGTGTGAGGGAATCCACACATTTTATCAAAGGATACATCCAAGTACACTACAGAAATAGAATGCAGTGCAAGGAACCACAACCTTTCTACAAAGCTTTGCCCAGGCCCTGATTCAGCAAGCCCTTGGCCACATGTTAGTTTAAAACTGGCCAGACTGTAATCTAATCTCCCCCTCACCTCAGCTCAGGGTTCCAGCAGAGTCATTCCAGAATGTGTTTTGATACCCTGCCATTCTTGCCCGGGCTCCTTGCACAGGAGCCTGAACCTACTCCCAACACCACGTCCCCATTCCCAGCACTGTCTTACTATGACAGGAGCGCAAGTGAAGAGGAAGATGGAAATCGCCTGCAGGTAGGAAAATTTCAGCAGCCCCTTCAGCTCCCGTGCCCGGATCTGTCCGATTCGCTGCTCAAATGATGGCTCCCAGGCAAACAGCTTCAGAATCTGCAGTCAGATATGGAATTCAGTTCTATGAAGTGGTCTTCATCCTCACAAAGCAAGAGAAGGGGCTCCACCCTGCCATGCATCTGCCTTGGGCAGAATTCAGCCCGTTTCCTATCCCATGCATCAATAAGCAGACAAGGCAAAATATGCAGGCTGGTTTTCATATGTCTGCTTCAAGGGAACATCTCACAGAGATCAAAAAAAGCTAGACTCTCAATGTCCACATCCCTTGTCAGTTTAAGCCATGCAAGGTCTGGCAATACAGTCCCATTGTTGGTAAAGTAAGTGATGAGCATAGCCCATTGCTGTGATGGATCAATTTGGATCCTGCCACTCACCTTTATGCCACTGAGAATTTCATTCATTATTTTCAAACGCTCGTCCTTGTTTGCCATGTTCTGCATCTGTACAAAGATGCCAAGAGTTAAGTGAGTTTCGGGAATAATCCCAGACTCACAGGAAGCACTGCCTGTTAGGACACCATCATCACTAACAAACCTAGTTCCACTTAGCCTCTGACAACTGTAGGTAACAGAAAATATGTTGCCCAGCTCATATCTCTTGGGATGCTCTCTGAAGGTGGTGGGGAAGGAATGCTACTCTT